CCCGGTGTGCTGCGACCCCTGCTCCCTGCAGGAAGGCTGCTGCCGCCCCATCACCTGCTGCCCCACGTCGTGCACGGCTGTGGTCTGCAGGCCTTGCTGCTGGGCCACCACCTGCTGCCAGCCTGTGTCTGTGCAGTCCCCGTGCTGCCGGCCCCCCTGCGGCCAGCCGACGCCTTGCAGCACCACCTGCAGGACCTTCTCCTGCTGAGCAGGGCACTGACTGCCCGGAACATGCAACTCACCTTCTGAAAAAGTCACACTCCCGTTTCTCTACTTTAACAAACCTCCTGCCCTGAGCCCGCAAGACCCCACATCAACCAAGCTGGGAACTGAGAACCGGGCTCATCATTAAGACCTGGGCCCTTCTGAAGTCTTTGTAAAGGAAGCAATTTCCTTCTTCCTATCTAAGATTTTGTGGCATGTTTATTTTCTAATAAATATCTGTTCTTTGGTCTTGCAAAAACTTTGGTTTTATTTACTCATTCTAATGTTTTGTATTAAATTAACTTTTAATTTAAAAAACTGACACATAATTGTACATGTTTATGGGGTGCAGTGTGATGTTTCCATACATGTATACATTTTGTAATAATCAAGTCAGGGTGTTTAGCATATTCATCACCTCATACATTTATCATTTCTTCATGGTAAGAGCATTTAAAATCTTCTCTGTTAGCTATTTTGAAATATATGATACAATATTACTAACCATAGTCATCCTACTGTACATTAGAATACCAACACTTACCCCTCCTATCTATCTGTAACTTTGTACCTGTTGACCAATCTCTGCTTATCCTCCCCTCCTCTCACTCTCCCCAGCCTCTGGTAGCCAGTATTCTAGTCTCTACTTCTATGAGATTAACTTCTTTAGATTTCACATAGGAGTGAGAGAATGTGCTGTTTGTCTTCCTGTGCCTGGTTAATTTCACTTACCATAATGTCCTCCAGGTTCATCCATGTTGTTGCACATGACAGTATTTCATTGTTTTTATGGCTGATAGTTTTCATTGTGTGTGTGTGAGAGTATGTGTCATATTTTCTCTATCCATTCATCCATTGATGGACACTTAGATTGTTTTCATATGTTGGTTGCTGTGAATAGTGCTGCAACAAACATGGAAGTGCAGATATCTCCTCAACATACTGATTTCATTTCCTTTGGACATATACTCAGTAATGGGATGGCTGGATCATATGGTAGTTCTATTTTTGGGGGACCCTCCATACTGTTTTCCATAATGGCTATGCTACTTTACATTCCCTCCAACCTTGTATGAGCTCCCCTTTTACCACATCCACACCAGGATTTGTTACTTTTTTGTATTTTTGATAATAGCCATTCTAATTGGGGTGATATGGTATCTCATTGCGGTTTTGATCTGCATTTCATGATGATTAGTGATGCTGAGCACTTCTTCATATATGTGTTGGCCATTTGTGTGTTTTCTTTTGTGAAATATCTATTCAGGTCTTTTACCTATTTTTAATTGGATTTATTATCGTTATTCACTGTTGAGTTGTTCAAGTTCCTTATATATTCTGGATATTAACTCCTGGTCAGATGCACAGTTTGAAAATATTTTCTCCCATTCTCTAGGTTGTCTCTTCACTCTGTTGATTTGATTATTTCCTTTGCTGTGCAGAAGGTTTTTACTTTTATATAATCCCATTTGTCTACTTTCACTTTTGTTGCCTGTGCCTTTGAGGTCTTATCCCCCCAAGAAAAAAACCATTGCCCAGACCAGTGCCATAAAATGCTTCCTGTATGTTTTCTTCTAGTAGTTTTATTATTTGCGGTCTTATATTTAAGTATTTAATCCATTTTGGGTTGTTTTTAAATATGTTGACAAATAGGGTCTAAATGCACTGTTTGCCTACCATATGCAAGTCACAGGCTACATGGTATAAAATAGAAATTAAAATTGAATTAAAAATGTTCCCCTCTTCAAAAAGCTTCTAGGGACATGAGTCATATTCACCTATAATTCATCTAAAAAGTAGAATATGAAAAAATAAAAGTACAACACTGTGTGGTGTCAACACAGAAGTCACTATTGGTTGGGGAAAAAAAGAAAGATTGAAAAGAGAAGCTAACATTTTATATGGGTTCAGATTGTGCTACCCAGATCAGAGGGATGGCATTCGTAGCAATAGAAATAGTATGAGCAAAGGTATGGAGGGAGGGGAACCATAGCATTGTTCAGAGTACAGTTTGGCTGGGGGCACTGGATATATAGAGAGTGATAGTGAAAGAAAGATTTGGAAAATTTGTATGCTTTGAATACTAGACAAGGGAGTACACCCTTAATGCAATAAGCAGTAAGGAGCTGTTGAAAGCTTTGGGGCAGGAAAATGGCATAACAAGAGCTGGGCACTGGGACAATTCTCATGATAGCACCTTATAAAGACAGAGGTCAAAGGCCAGAGAAATAAGTTGCACAGAACTATACAGAAACTAATCAGGAAGATATTGCCCTGGTCCAAGCGATGTACAATAAGAGCTCAACTAAGATAATACCCATGGAATAAAGAAGACACAATGAGTATGGCAGATGTAGAAACCCAGAAAGTTTATTAACTTAGCTGAATGTGGGAAACAAAAAACGACTAGGAAGCAAATGTGATTTATTCCAATTATAAGTCTCTGGTCCACACCGGGGCCTATTGTGGGGAGGGGGGAGGGGGGAGGGATAGCATTAGGAGATATACCTAATGTAAACGACGAGTTAATGGGTGCAGCACACCAACATGGCACATGTATACATATGTAACAAACCTGCATGTTGTGCACATGTACCCTAGAACTTAAAGTATAATAATAATTTTTTTTTAAAAGTCTCTGGTCCAGATACTTAAAAGAACTTTTAACATATTTATACTTATTTATTGTGTATTTAAAATTGCTAGTGCATAGTGTCATCTGTCTACCATCTAATATTTATATTCTTGAGCTATTACAAAATACCTTTTTTAAGAAAAAAAGACAAATACAAAGAGCTTTACTAACATTAATTGATTCTGAAAAGTAGCATGGTATAAAATAAAAAGAACTGGTCTAGGAATGAGTGATAGGAGTTTTATACCCAGCTCTTCTAGTTGTGTACTGTGGGAATGGAAACAAGTCGCTTAACCTCTCCAAGACTCAAGAGTATTCTGACCCCAACTAATGTTAAGTGAAAATGAAAAGTGCTCCATACTACACCACCAATGTTCCCATTTAGAACTTTGAGGCTAAACAGTTCTTTACTCCACTCTTTTCCTTGATTAATCCCTCCTGTTACTACTACACTGATTTTTATACTAGAGCAAGATATGAAACAAACAGATGGGGTCCTGCTTTCTGTATAAGCCTTTAGTGCTCTGGGCATAGTAGAAGTTAATAAATATGTGCTATTTATAATAAGAATGATGTCAGTTTCTACACCTATAAAATTAAGTGGTGGAACAAGATAATTTACACATTTTTGATCTCCAACGTTCAGTGATTACATATAACCATTTTCAATGTCATACCTACAGTCATAGTTACCATATGACATGAACATCTTTACTGATGCTGGCATGAATCACATTGTAATATAACCCTATTCCTGTACAAACACCACCACCTCATAAAATGCTAACTATGTGTTTCTATTCATGATGGGAAGGGAGAAATAAACCTACCCCAAGTAGAAATAATATGTTTTTGTCCAGACTTTTTTCATGTATGTTATGTAACCCTAAACTCCCAGTAGAAAATCACATTCTTTCTTCTAGCAATGGCCAGGAATTGTTTTAACTTTCATTTTGTCGAAATTTATCTTAATCTCTTTGCATTTATTATACTACACCTCTCGAACTATATTTGGTCACCCATTTTCTAACCTGCCTTATAAAGCAGAAAAAAGTATTTTCTAACTCTTGCTTTTTCTTTGATTGATTTCCCTTCCTAAATTCAGTTGTCATGCTCTTTGGTCTAATATCTTTTCACAGGACACACAGTTTAGTAATGTGAAATGACATAAATTAAAAATAAATTCTGCCTTTGAGAAATTATATGCCAGATAATCCATATACCGGTGATTTTTGTCTTTCATAGAGAAGTGTAAATTTCATTAAAATATTTTGCAATCTTTTTCCAGTTACTGAATATGAATTTTAGCCTTTCTTTTAAGAGACATTGGAATTGAACAGGTTTTGTTTTATATATCCTCCTGAGTGATCAATGTTTCCTCAGATATGAATGTGAAGTTCAGGAGATATCACAGAAATTGGAAAGATTTCATTTCAGTGAAAAATATATGAATTTCTATGAATGTAGAGTTTATCAGAATTTCTATCTGGCTAATAAGATTATATAGAGAGAGTATAATCTTACTAGTCTAAAAAATACAAAGCAGTCTTACATAAGGACAGTCATGATTCATAATTCTTTTCTGGAGACTTGAGGTTTGGTGAATACAATCCCCAAAATCACATCATCTTATGGGTGAGAGTCACCTTGTCAGATGATATGCCCACAAGTGCAAAACTGAAGCTGAAGCTCAAGTAGAAATTACACCATTGTTTGAAAACAAAATGTTAACATTTTTACCAAGGACAAACACATTTGGTGAGTATTAGCTGAGCAATAAGGAAAAATCAATTTCAAGATATATTTAAAACAATTCAGCATTTGAACCATCAGAGGGCCCTAGAAAGGCTGGTTTAAAGAGTAACAAGATAAAAATGTTGCTCGCCACAGATAGAGGAATTGGTCAAGACTTATAAAAAGCCCGAGGTGGAATAGGCAGACACAACTCAGAAACTCCTCCAAGCAACCCAAACTTCAGACCAACTCCTGACACCATGGCCTGCTGTCAGACCAGCTTCTGCGGATTTCCCAGCTGCTCCACCAGTGGGACCTGCGGCTCCAGCTGCTGCCAGCCAAGCTGCTGTGAGACCAGCTGCTGCCAGCCACGCTGCTGTGAGACCAGCTGCTGCCAGCCAAGCTGCTGCCAGACCAGCTTCTGTGGGTTTCCCAGCTTCTCAACCAGTGGGACTTGTGGCTCCAGCTGCTGCCAGCCAAGCTGCTGTGAAACTAGCTGCTGCCAGCCAAGCTGCTGTGAGACCAGCTGCTGCCAGCCAAGCTGCTGCCAGACCAGCTCCTGCGGAACCAGCTATGGCATTGGTGGTGGCATCGGCTATGGCCAGGAAGGCAGCAGTGGAGCTGTGAGCACCCGTATCAGGTGGTGCCGCCCAGACTGCCGTGTGGAGGGCACCTACCTGCCTCCCTGCTGTGTGGTGAGCTGCACACCCCCATCCTGCTGCCAGCTGCACCACGCTGAGGCCTCCTGCTGCCGCCCGTCCTACTGTGGACAGTCCTGCTGCCGCCCAGTCTGCTGCTGCTACTCCTGTGAGCCCACTTGTTGAAAACCTCCTTCTGCTGGGAATCCTGATAAGATGGCACTTTAAAACTAGCCAAATTAGAATCCTAACAATCTTCTGAACTCCAGTACCTATAACTGGGCTTGCAACCTCTCATCACACAGCCACATAAATTCTCTAGGATGTAAATTCATTTACAATGGAAGACCAAAATTTTTTCCTAGACCTGGATGTCAGCCAAAGTCCTACAACGTGAAAAGAGTTAGATAATATTTTACTATAAATATCATCTGAAATATTTCAACAATTATTGGGACTTAAATTTAATAAAGGTTTTCAATGATGAAGTCATTAGAACTTTCTCTGCTTTGGAATTTGTTACAGATATTGGGGTACTGGGATTTTTCAAAATATCAACATGACATGGCACTATGGTTTTTCTGTATTTCTGCTTTTAATGATGATCTTCAAAAGTAATTTTCTTTTGCTTTACCATTAAATGGTCCAATATTTTGCAGCTAAGACATATGATTAAAGGAACATGACAGCATTTAGGAACTGTTTCCTAAGGTTCTCACATGTGCTAAGTGGTGGGCTAGGTATTCCGATAGACTGATTTTATAAAAAGGAATTTCATGTTATTCAGCTTCTTGAAGTTCTGTCAAATCTATTCATTTGTCCATTCATTCATTCATATATGAGGTTGTGTACAATTATTTCTATCATCTATGATACACAAAAACAGAATAAAAATTGTGAAAGACTACAAACACAAGATTATAGAGTAATAGCACATAACAAACATTCACATTTTATTCAAGGTCCTAGGCTCATAACTCCCATAGCCCTTTTTATGATGTTAGGGCACTTTAGACTTCAGAAGCAGACCTCAGAAAACAGAATCTCTCTCTCTCTCTCTCTCTCTCTCTCTGTTTCTCTCTCTCTCTCTCGCGTGCGCGCTTTTGCTCTCTCTCTCTCTGCCCTTCTCCTGCCCTCTTTTCACCTGCTCCTTTTACTCCTCAAGGCAAGAATCTTCCCCCAGTGTTCTTGGCACTGGCCGTCAAGATATTCTCCTACCTTCCTTGTCTGCTTGTAGGTCATAAGATCCCCATTTCAGAAGAGGTTCTGCCCCGTGCCCTGGAGGAAGGAAGGCTGCACAGAGTGACCAAGAAGGATCTGAACAGACAGGCCTTACCGGGTTTCACCACTCACTCTACTAACATTACATCATACTCTTTTTGTCCAATCACGTTTCTAATGGTTGTCCATCATGCCCATCCACTGAAGTCTCCATAAAATGTCAAAAAAAAAAAAAAACCCACGGAATTTGAGGAGCTTCCGGAGAGCTGAATGTGCGGAGGTTCCTGGAATGTGCTGTTCCCAGAGAGGTTATGAAAGCTCCTCATACCCCTTCCCCCACACCTTACCCTATGCCTTTCTTCTTCTGTACCTTTTGTAATGGTCTTTATCATAAACCAATAAACTAAATGTTTCCCTGAGTCCTGGGAGCCGCTCTAGCACACTCATCAAACTTAAGGAGGCGGTCGTGGAATTCCCAACTTACGGCTGGTCGGTCGGAAGCACAGGCAAAACGACCTGGAGCTTGTGTGCTTGGCACTGGAAGCAGGGGGCAGTCTTACGGGACTGAGCTCTCACCCTGTGAAACCTGACGCTATCGCCAGGCAAACAGCATTAGAATGGAATTGGAGAACACATTAGGCCACAGGCCAAATTTCTCCCCATCAATAAGCAAGGAAATAAGCAGATACCAGCTGCGTGTTCTCCACTCCAATTCCATTCTAACGCTATTTACCTGGTGATAGGGCGTGGTGGGGGGCGCCTGTAGTCCCAGCTACTCAGGAGGCTGAGGCCGGAGAATGGCGTGAACCCGGGGGGTGGAGCTTGCAGTGAGCCGAGATCGCGCCACTGCACTCCAGACTGGGCAACAGAGCGAAACTCCGTCTCCAAAAAAAAAAAAAAAAAAGAAAAGAAAGAAAAGAAAAAAAAAAATCTTCTATGTTGATTGTTGTTGAGTGAGAAAACAGAAAGAACATTTGAGTGGTGTTTTTTTTCCTTCTAGAAAAGGAAGAACAAAAAGCAAATACAGACTCCTGAGTTCTAGTCCCAGCTTTGTAACTAGCTATCCATGAATCCTTGAGCAAATCCCTTCGCTTGCCTGGGTACCTATTTCTAATTTGGAAAATGAAAGAACTGAGTCATTACCAACAACATCCCTTCCAGGCATAAGAGGGTAGATAATTTCCTAAACAGGCGACACATTGACCAGTAATCGCTTCAGATGCCCAAAGAGGAAAAAATATACAGTGGTTAAATAATGTCGTATGCATTATCACCATCTTGCAGGTTTATAAAGCCACATTGGAATATTAAACG